AATGACGGACTTCCTAGCGATAGAATGTCCATCGAAAATGCCACCATTCTTACGTTTTGTGAACGATGGCCTCTGATGGTGGATCCTCAACTGCAAGCTATCAAGTGGATAAAGAATAAGTACGGCGATGATCTTATTGTAACTCGATTAACCAAAAAGGGCTACATCGACGAAATCATCAATGCCATTCAGAATGGACAGGTTGTTTTAATTGAAAATCTTGGTGAAACTTTGGATGCAATTCTAGATCCCGTCATTGGTCGCGTAACAATTCAGAAGGGTCGAGCAATGCTGATTGGGGATAAGGAGATTCCTTACAACCCCAACTTTAAGTTAATTCTCCACACTAAACTGGCAAATCCTCACTATCAACCTGAGTTGCAGGCTCAGACAACTCTAATTAATTTCACTGTCACAAGATCTGGTCTTGAAGACCAGCTTTTGGCAGTTGTGGTGAGCAAGGAAAGACCGGATTTGGAGAAGCTTAAATCGGATTTGACCAAACAGCAGAATGAATTTAAGATTACCTTGAAACAGTTGGAGGATTCACTCTTGGCGAAACTTGCAAATACAGGTGGAAACTTTCTGGGTGATCATTCGCTGGTGGAGAATTTGGAAAGCAACAAGAGAACGGCTACGGAAATTGAAGAGAAGGTGGTGGAAGCAAAAGTCACTGAGGTGGAGATCAACGTTGCAAGAGAACACTATCGTAATGTGGCTACCCGAGCCGCTCTAATCTACTTCATCATGAACGATTTGAATCGAATCAATCCCATGTATCAATTTTCACTGAAGGCCTTTCGTACTGTCTTCGAGTGGGCCATTGATAATGCTCCTGAGGCAGAAACAGACGAAGAGCGTCTCGCAAGTCTTATGGACAGCATCACTTACGCCATCTATGTTTACACTACGAGAGGTCTGTTTGAACGAGATAAGCTCATTTTTTGTGTCCTAATGGTCCTCCAAATTCAGCACCATTCTGGAGACTTTCCTCAATACCTCATCGATTTTCTTCTACGATACCCCGCAGTACCCGACCTCAAAAGTCCTGTAGACTTTCTCAGCGACCTCAGCTGGGGCGGAGTTCAGGCTCTTGTCAAGATGGATTCTTTTCGTGACCTTGATAAAGACATAATCGCCTCGACTAAACGCTGGAAAACGTTTGTGGAGACTGAGGCTCCAGAGAAGGAGAAACTTCCTCAGGAGTGGAAAAACAAGACGGAAGCAGAGAAACTCTGCATAATGCGAGCTCTTCGACCCGATCGAATGACTTATGCACTTACCTACTTCATTTCTACCACATTTAGTGCCAAGTACGTGGAGGGAAGACAGGTGGACTTCGCCACATCCTACAAAGAATCCAGACCCAATGTTCCAGTCTTCTTTATTCTCTCACCAGGTGTGGACCCGTTGAAAGATGTCGAGGTGCTAGGCCACAGGCTTGGTTTCACAGTGGATAAGAATAACTTCCATAATGTCTCACTGGGTCAAGGACAGGAGATTGTGGCAGAGAACGCTCTCGACTTAGGAGCGCTGGAGGGACACTGGGTAGTCTTGCAAAATATTCACTTAGTCAAACGATGGCTCCCCATATTAGAAAAAAAATTAGAACAACTGGGAGAAATTGCCAATTCGAAATTCCGTGTCTTTATCAGTGCCGAACCGGCTCCCAGCGAAGAAACACACATTATTCCCCAAGGTATTCTAGAAAACGCTATTAAAATCACCAACGAACCACCCACTGGAATGCAGGCAAACCTTCATAAAGCGCTGGACAATTTCACACAAGTGAGTGGAATATACATTTGGTGCTTATTTTCAGTTCAGTGGATAATATCCTAGCACTGATTAATTTAAGGAAACGTTGGAACGCTGTTCAAAAGAGGCGGAGTTCAAGCCGATTTTATTCGCTCTCTGCTACTTCCATGCCGTTGTGTCAGAGCGAAGAAAGTTTGGTGCACAGGGTTGGAACAGGAGCTATCCTTTTAACGCAGGTGATCTGCGCATCTGTTTGGACGTACTTTACAACTACTTGGAAGTTAGTTCAAAGGTTCCGTGGGATGATCTGCGGTACCTCTTTGGAGAGATAATGTACGGCGGTCATATCACCGACGATTGGGATAGAAGACTCTGTCGAACCTTCTTAGAGGAGTACCTCCAGCCTGAACTCGTGAGTATTCGAACAGCGCCTTCTACTTAAGTCGTATTCAAATAGTTTTGTTTCAGCACTTTCCACACTTCACAACTGAGGCAATCAACTGTACCAACACCGCATAACTTACTGCCCAACACTCCATTCTCATTTAAACCCGCTCAAGGTCGAATCGGCTTCACAGTTTTACTAATTAAAACGTCAGAATTGGCTTGGGTAGAGTGGTATGATAATCCACTTGCATTCGCTCATTTCAAGTCAATGGTAAACCACTGTATTAGTATATCTATCGTACCTATTATCCGACTTTTCGTTGTTTTTTTTTCGCTTGCTAACAGCATGCCATGTAATCTACATGGATAGGAGGAATTCGCTCGGATACCGTTAAATAGAATCAATTTTAGTGTTGAGTGGCTTCGAAATGGACGCGCTGCATTTTGATAAGCTGGTATGCACTGGATTTTGTATGTGATCTTGAATCCCCTTGGTATCCAAATAAATACGCAATGGGCTGTACTCCAGATCCATAGTTCTGTGTAACTGGCATATACAAGCAGACGAAGGGCCACCTAATGATAATAGACTTGACTACCAGTCAGTTGGCGTCACTCGGTGACTTCTATCACGCATAGTTACGGCTACCAATTAATCTTGATATTCCAGCGATAATGACCATATTGCGCCCAAATTCCCGCTTGAAGTCAGTCAATTGAGCAGGAGTGTAAGAGAGCACAATTATCGAGGATATTTGGCAGGTAAATTTTAGGTAGAAGCTACTTAGGGAGCTCCATATTGCTTCTTTTGGTTCCTCCAAAATATCGTCGTTGGTAAGGGACTGGATACCAGCTGCTTAACTTTCAGCTTCAGATGGCTTGTGTACTTAGAATTAAGTGAAAAGTGTATAACTGAGTGCTCCCAACTGATCCAAGTAGTTGTTTAGTTAATTATTGTTTCTGCTGTCTTATTTCAAAAAGATTGACGGCGACCTCTACCTTGCCCCCAATTTCCTGGTGGCTCCAAACTCGGACTACATGGGGTATCATGCCTACATCGATGAGGCCCTCCCTCCCGAATCTCCCCACCTCTATGGTCTCCACCCAAATGCGGAGATTGACTTCTTGACCAAAAATGCCGAGCGTGTCTTCCGCATGGTATTGGAGCTGCAGCCTCGTGATGCATCTGCCGCGACAAGTGACTCGGTCTCGAGGGAGGAGGTTATTTTGCAGATCATTGAGGACCTGATGGACCGGCTGCCCGACGGTTTCAACATGATGGAACTGAGTGCGCGTCAAGCGCCTGAAGAACGGACGCCCTACACTGTGGTAGCTATGCAGGAGTGCGAACGCATGAACATTCTGGTGGCGGAAATTAGACGTTCGCTCAAAGAACTACGTCTCGGTTTAAGGGGTGAACTGACCATGTCTAGTGAAATGGATGCCCTCGCGGGATATCTATTTCTAGATTCGGTAAGCAGCTTCTCCACATCATACCTCGCGGAATCGCAACCGTCTATTCTGCCTTTATAGCCTCTTCCAAAAGCGCATGCTAAACGTTTCCTTCCCACCTGCTTAATATTAATAGGTGCCGCAGACCTGGGAGCGCTACGCTTACCCTAGCCTTTATCCTCTGGGTCTATGGTTTGCGGATCTCCTCTCTCGTGTCAAAGAACTTGATGTGTGGGTACAGGATTTCACTCTCCCTGGTTCTGTCTGGTTAGGCGGGCTCTTCAACCCACAGTCCTTCCTCACCGCTGTGATGCAACAGACAGCGCGCAAGTTTGAGTGGCCTTTGGACAAGATTTGTATTAGCGTGGAGGTGACCAAGCGCTCGCGTGAAGATATGGGTGCAGCACCAAGAGAGGGCGCCTACGTTCACGGTCTTTTCATGGAAGGTGCACGGTGGGACACCGGAGCAAACGCGGTGGTAGAAGCACGAATGAAGGAGTTAGCCCCACCTCTGCCGGTCATCATGCTGCGCGCAGTGCCAACTGATAGACAGGAGGGCCGACTAGCCAGCCTCTACGCCTGTCCGGTGTATAAAACAAAGACGAGGGGACCCACATTTGTGTGGACCTTCCACCTCCGCACCAAGGAGAAACCAGCTAAGTGGATTATGGGTGGAGTGGCACTTTTGCTACAAGTTTAGATCGGTTGGATTAGGATTTAATAAATGCTTAATGCCGCTTTAGCACTTTTCATCATTCCAAAAGATTGTGGGCAGAGAGAACTTTGCTGTGCAGGAGGTACTTCATTCCTCACTCTTCAGTGTCAACTATTGACTTTCATAAGTGATTTTCGTGAAATTTTGGTCATCAGATGCCTTGTCTGGCATTTTAAAAGCTGAAACTATTCGTCGTCTAATCGAAAGAAGCACTAGCTCGTAGATGATGAACTTAACAATTTGGACAAGCTTCATCGAATTCCACCTCTTGCGCCTCCACAAGCACTAAAAGGAGGCACAACTCAAAAGTCCTCAAGAACGTCTATTTCTCTAAGTTTGTAATCGTCGGGCGTTTACATTTTCGGTTCCAAAGGGAAACGAGGCAAACAGCAAATTGCGGAGCAAAGGTAAAGCATACCGACAGGTAGTGACGCAGTAAGGAAATTGGAAGATTCAGTTGTTCCACCAAAACGATTTTGACTCGCCCCCAGGAGGCTGTGCAGTCTTCACAGAGGTGTGGATCACCCTTTGCCCTGGTGGCAAGGCCTCTGCAAACAATATCAAATTAAACGAACTAATCATCGAGGCCACCAGGTTCAGGATGTTCGGCACTCTCTATTCAGTGAAATGCTGTCCTAACTTTTAAAACCTCATGAATGTCTTTACTGCAGAAAATAAGAAACTTCTCAACTACTCCACACAAGTTAATGGGTCTTGCACAGCAGGTTAACAAAAAAAACCATCATTAGGCAAAAAACTCTCACCCTACTCTAGTTGGCATCTCTACCGAAAAAAAGTAAACAATCTAGCTTGTGATGGGAAAAATTGGTGCACACATGTACAGCCACAGGCCATTAGGAGCTTTACCATTTACGAGATCCGTAGTCCCCAAAATACAAGTGGTTCAAAGGTTGTGGGAGATTCTCACGACTTAATGACTTTTAGTGCCATAAATGTGAAAGCCAGCTTCAGCTCATTCATCACTACTCCTAGTCAGGGTTCACACATCCACTGTCTACTTAGCTTCAGTAGGCTGAACAGGGGGTGCAACATGACTTTGTAAAAGTGGGAAGGGGAATTAAGAAACCAACTTACCCTTAGGAACATTGTCATAGTCCGATTTGCGATAGAAATGCGACTCTCTTGGTGGTGAGGTATGATCACACGCAGGGTCCAGATTGATTACAGGACCGGAGTAGGGCTCACGTGTCACTGGACAGAGCAGCGTCTCACCAAGGGCCTTTAACGCTGCTGTTCGACTGAATACCATACCACTTGATGTCTTGGTATGAACAAATCGGCCGGTGGGTTCGGTCGTCTCCACCAACTCGCCTTCCCTCACCACCACTCTGCCACGGAGTAAAACCACCTCCGGACGGCAGGTGAAACAATTTAGACCTTCAAACGGATCTTCCACACCATCCGGAATCAAATTTCTAGAAGCATCCTTTGATTCAGGATTCCAGATGACGATGTCTGCGTCGCTGCCCTCTGCAATACAGCCCTTTCGTGGATAGAGGTTGTATAACCGAGCTGGATTCGTACTAACTGCAGAAACGAACCCACAGGGATCCAGGAGGGCTTCCTTCTCAACTCCAATTTTCCACAGAGCGCTAAGACGCCCTCCAGCCGTCGCCTGACCTATGGGAATCTGACGGAAGTCATTCAATCCCAACCCAGCCCGAATATTCGAGGGGATCGCACGATGCGCTGAACCCACCGCCATTAATTCACCAGTGGCTACATGAGACAGAAGCTTTCTTGCAACTGTCTCCTCGGGTCTGATTGGTGGGTCAGAGACGCAGCCAGCGGCCTTGGCCCAATTTGGATGTGTTACTGTGTTCCCAGCAAAGACACAGCCAATAGCTGCAATGTCGGTTTCACCAAAGATTGCGCTACCAAGATCACGTTGTTCAAGAAGCGCTTTCAGAGCGGCCAAGCTGTGGATTCGAGTAAAAATAACAGGACAGTTTGTAGCTGCAGCCAAAAGCCCAACTCTAGACACCGTGTCCGACTCAAATCGTTCTGGGGAGGCTAGTAGACAGCCCTCGGGCCCAGTAAAGCCGGATGAGAAGACAGATTCAGCTATTTTGTTCAAAACGGCTGGATTCCCACAGGCAGGCACAGATGGAGGAACACCCAATGAGGAGCAGAGATCCATGGCGGTCATGAGGGTCTCCTCGTCAAATCCGGCAGACTCCCCACTTTGTAAACGAAATGAAAACGATACTACTTTCTCATCAGCAGCGAGTAACTTCATCTCGTTAGCAACTTTAGGAGAAAAGTGAGGCACAGTGAGAAAAAGCGCGAAATCGCAGCGGCATTGGGCGTCGAGAATACTGCGGTGATGGGCATAAGCATCGATAATGCTGAGACCCGGGCGAACGGTAATCTCGTTAACTGGAAGCGCAAGAAAATGGGCTTTTCAGATAAACAGCACATCATTCATAAGCCCGATTCTCACTGTATTGCATGCGGCGCGCTATGCCAAGGCCAAGGGATTAATCATTACCCATAAAAACACGCGAACCAACCCCCCCCCTTCCCCAAGACGATCAGCCAATGGGAAGGCCACTTGAAGGACGGCCAGCGCTTACTGCCAACCCCCAAGCCGGTGTTCGCCAAGTCATCCCGCTTCGACTGTGCGTAGGCGAAATCGAGTTCACTTCAACAATCAGATACTGGTTATGCTTGACGTGATTTTAGATTTGATATTCTCTTAGGGAGATAGCATAAAACTGAACCA